TGCGGCTCTTCAGAGGTGGTGTGAACTACAACAATCTTCGCCTGCTGAGATCTGTTCCAGCTAGCAACAATCTGACTATACTCTGGATGGCTTTGCTAAATGTTAGATCGCTGGCAAACAAGACTTTTATTTTAAACGACTTTTTCCTCTCATCGGGGCTGGATTTTCTTTATTTGAAACCTGGCTTCATCCTGAGGAATCTTCTGCTTTTTCAGAACTTCTTCCCCCAGGTTGTGCCTATGCTAGCTCCCCTAAGATCTCTGACAGGTGGAGGATTGTCTTCGATTTTTAAACACAAATTTCGATGCCGGGAACTACCACCCGTCTTTGACACCAGCTTCGAGGTGCAGCTACTGGAACTGAACTGTGCCCCCCCCCCCCAATTCTTTGTGCTGTGGTGTATCGACCCCCGAAATCTGTTAAGGATTCAATTTTTCAATTTGGTGATCTTCTAGGGAGCCTGGTTTTGCGCTATGACCGTGTTTTAATTGTTGGTGATTTTAAGCACACTAACAAAGGATTTCCTTGCCCTTATTGACATTTTTAATCTTGCGCAGTGGGTAAGTGAACCAACACATTTAAAAGGTCATTCGCTTGATCTAGTTTTCTCTTATGATCTGGATATTCGTATAACGGATATCAGGGACTCTGGGATTTCTGATCATTCTGTGGTTATGTTTAATGTTACGCTACCAATGGTATTAACGTAGTACTGAGACAGCTTTGTTAAGAGTTTTTAATGATCTCCTTTTATCCACTGATTCAGGTTGCTCTGTGGTTTTAGTCTTACTGGATCTGACCTCTGCGTTTGACACAGTAGATCATAACATGCTATTATCAAGGCATCAAGTAGTTGGTCTTAAGGGCACAGCCTTATCATGGTTTAAATCTTATCCTTCAGAGAGGTCATTCTCTATCACTATGGGGCAATACTCCGCCTCCTCTGCTATGCTGATGACATTCAAATTTATTTTTCTTTGAGTTTGCATGTCACAGATCCATCGCATACATTCTTTAACTGTCTTCATGATGTGAGAACCTGGCTGTGGTGGGAATAAGGCATGGCGGGACCACAGATCATCATTTAGAGCGATTTTATTCAAATCACATCACACCACAACACACACCAACCCCTGAGTCCCCGTGTTTTTAACTCAGCGGGCGAGATTAAGGATGCCGTGCAGGTGCGTCCGCCCTCCCTGCATGGCACCTGCAGACCACGCCCCACCACACTGGCCATCTCAAAACTCTCTTACCTTGAATGACAGTAAAACTGAAGTTATTGTCTTTGACAGCCATATCCCTTTGAACCAACTAACTGTTTCCCTTGGCCCACTTGCTAGTTACCTCTCCCACATTGTAAGAGACCTTGGGGTACTCTTGGATAGCTCCTTCAAATTAGAGAAACAAGTATCTTCTGTGGTTAAATCCAGCTTCAATCAGATACGACAAATTTCTAAAGCTAAGCCTTTTCTTTCCCCCAAGGACCTTGAAAAGCTTATTCATGCATTCATTATCTCTAGACTGGACTATTGTAACTCCCTTTATTTAGGCCTCCCTCACTCCTCTCTCTACCGGTTGCAATTAGTACAGAACGCTGCTGCATGCCTTTTATCGGGTGCCAGAATGCATGATCATATTACTCCAGTTTTAGCTAACTTACACTGGCTTCCTGTGAAATTTCACATTGATTTTATGATTTTATGAGGTATCGTTCTAACTGAAGACGAACCAAAGACGAGGCTCATTGTTAGAGAGTTATCTCTGGGATGCTGGGATGATAGCTCCCTCAGGACTTAAACTCCGGTCAGAGAGTGGGGCACAGAGAGTGATGTCCGGATATACTTTAATGGAAGTTAACAGCAGCTCAACAGTACAGCAGTAGGCATACTTAACGAATGTGGGAGGGGTGGACAGACGTGTGGTTCTGAATAACAATTATAGCGATGCGATTGAAATATAAGGAGACTTTCGGACACTCATTAAACTTCTGTTTCAGTCATCAAGGATCTGTCAGTGAGAGGCTTCATTACTAATGCCGTACTAACCACAGGACAACTATATAAACCTTTTTTTGGCCCAGTTTCATATTCACCGATGTTTCCTCACCGTGACCAACACTCATAAAGAGTTAGAACCTTATTGTTCTTCCTCTGCTGTTTCTATGTTTGCTGTCCTGCTGTCTTCACTTTATTCCTCCGTGTGTGTTCAGCTTCTGTATTTGACGCCATCTCTGTGCTGCTGACGTAGCTACTGCTTTTTGTGCTTTCTTCTTTTGTTCAATAAAGTTGTTTTTTTTTTAAAGCAGCTTCATCTAAAGTCCCTCCCCGTTTCTCAGATACTTCTGCGTCACTTCCTCTCCTCCTCACAGACGTGAGCAGAATAAAAATTTAAATAAAAAAACAAAAGCTAGAGGCACTTTGACCTGATGAAGCTAGATATCGGAACACCAGGGGGCAGTGTCTGCTCAGAGTTCAACAGAAGGAGAAAAATGACCTGCTGTTAGCTGATCCAAAGCAAGAGCTGTGATGAAGACATGAAGCGGACCATGGGAGGAGGTGGGACCAGTTCCTGGGACACACTGGGACACAAACCCTGGAGCTTCAGCAGGAGCAGGAGGGAGTCTGCTTAGACTGATGGTTCTGTCTCCGTTTGCTCTTAAAGAATCAGTGCTGTTATTGATCAATACCGATCGACCAGATGCATCTCTATATGTTCCCCCTCATCAAAACCAGCAGCGTCATTTTCTGTCAGTGTGAACTTCCTGTCCTCTTTGGCCCCGGCTGATGCGGTTTATGTTATTGATCTGTGATTAAAGCTCAGGTTTACTTTAAAAGTCTGAAGCTGCAAACACTCAAAAACAATCTGAATTCATGTTGTCACACGTAACAACCGTCATGCAGTTTTACTGCTTCAAGCTTTCATCATTTTTATGGATCAGCTCGTGAATTTCTCTGAAACTTTCATCATTTTAACTTGTGTAGCATTAATAAAGGTTTGTTGTTTTGAGAGAAACGTCACACAAACAGCTGGTCAAACCTATAAAAAAAACCCTGAAACTGAAACAGGAAAGAGACAGAAAATAGAGAAAATAGAGAAGTGAAGCTGAAAAAAAACCCCAAAAAGTAAAAAAAAGAAAAAGAAAAAAAAGACGTGAGCTCAGAAAAACACAGCCAGTGTCTGGACTGAAAGACCGAGGCACTAATCCTGGCAGCACAGGAACAAGGCCACCAGCTGCTGAGGTCAAGATGGGCCACGCCCCCTCGGGTGGTCGACAATGGCTGCTGATTGTATAACCCACTCCTGCTCATTCCGACCTCAGTGATGGATTTTCCCGATAAGCCTGAAGGACACACAAACACAGCTGTATGGACTCAGCTGAAGGTCAAAGGTCACTGCGAAACACAGCTCAAATTTATTATCCAGTCAGTCTCCCCTCCCCCTGAGGTGTTTGTTTGTTCTGTTGCACACCTGCGCTCTGGACAGCAACGTGTTTCTGAACTCGAGCAGAACATTTAACAGCTGTTTGTACCAGAGCAAACTTTATTGAAACAAACGTGCTTGTTGCAAACATCGATAAAGGTGGGAAACTCCTCTTAATCACTTCAGTGTTGAAGGTCTGCGCTGCACCGCCCACAGCCCGCTGATAGCGATGTTAGAGGTCAATAAGTCACGTGCCGCAGGGGTCACACATAATTCGAGTCCCTGCTTCTCTGTCCCTTGTAGCCCCCAGCTTCAAGTGATGTCATCAGTCCCTATCAGTGTTCTCCTGATGAAGGGTGTGACCTCACCAGCAGCAGTAAACAGGAAGTTTATCATCAGCAACCAGCCTCATTTCCAACCCTTCCTTTCTGATTACTGCCTTTCTGTACGTTTGCTGTTTAGCTTCCTGTTAAATCATGTGACCCACCTGTGTGAAAGCTGCTGTTACTGTCAATAAAGTTCACTCATTTAAAAGCCTGGCTGATTGTGATGAGATAGTATCGATCTGCATTTGGATCGATTAACTCCCGGCAGCCTGCCGAGCCTCGAGCTGTTCACGTCTGAGTATAAAAAAGCTTCAGGTCGAACAGGTCAGCTGACATTTGGCGAGTCAAACTGGTTTCAGTTCCAGCTGATCAGCTGACACAGGTGCATGTTCCTCTCTCAGGTGTACCTGAGTGTCTCGCTGCCTCCGTCCTAGGGCTGTTCGATATAACGATATATATCAGATGACGATATAAAAACATCCATCGTTTCATTTTACGCTGTCGTTTGTTTCGTGGTGTCGCAAAATAAACTGTTTACAGCAATATTTTTTCATGTTCTGATGTCACTGTAGTTATTATTAAGTTCTTAAAGTTCTCTCTTTTTCTTATATGTAATATAACCACACTAGGACAGACAAGCGCCTGTTTTCATGCGTTGTCGTTAGCAACAACGACGGTAACAGCATCGCGTGTCCGCTTGTTTATGTTCCACATAAACCTTTCACAATAAAGCTCAAGATCCTGTTGAGACTTTTCAAAATAAACTGAATCACGTGAAAGAGCAGATTATTTAAAAAAAAAAAAAAAAAAAAAGAGACGCCAGGTGCTAAAAAATAAAGCTTAGACTCAAACGTTAGCACAGGCTTTTCCCCGCAGCACGCCGTGTAATAAATACTCACAAAGAAAACGGCGCCGTTACAACTTATGTCTAAAAATGTATCGTTTCATGCGTCGGTTAAAACACTCGACTCAGCTACACTACGCCCAGCTGGAAACACTTCACACAGGTCGAGCTGCCCGAGATTCACAGAAAATGTTACATTTTTGTGATTTATATCGTTGTCAGGACGTTAGATGTCTTACATCGGGATATGAGATTTTGGTCATATGGCACAGCCCTACTCTGTCCTGTTTAAAGAAACATCGAACACAAAGTCAAACCGCTGCGCTGGGCTCAGTGTCACAGCCAGTTTGAACACAGATACACCTGGAAACTACGGGTACCTTACAGTGATGTCACAGACACAGTGATGATGTCAGAAAACTTTATTACTGTAGAGAATCACAGCAGGAAAAAAAGTGATGACACCACAGCTATATGTGATAACGCCCGCCCCCTCACACGAGAGCTGCAATGGAAAGCACCAATCGCTGACCAGAGTCACGTGACCAGCCTGCACAGCTTCTTCCAACAAAGCACTCTGGGAAACCGAGTCCCTCTTATGCCAACAAACCACGTTACAGGATGGAAGCCTGCAGGCCAGACAGGAAGTGAGTCTCTGTGATGTCAGCAGGTTTTAGAAAAACAAAAATGTGGTTAAAGGAAGTGACATCAGTCGTATTATAAAATAAAGTCTAATTTATGTTTAAAATACACCCCACGCACTCTTCCATATAGTCCCGCCCCCTCATCTCTTCCACAATAAGCGAAACACTCGCAGCTCTAAATGCTGATTATTGATTGGTGACTGATCGGTTATTGATTAGAAGCTGAAACGTCTCACCACACCCTCTGTAGCCATATGAACTTTCACCTGATGAAACTGCTGAGGCCCCTTTCAGAGTCCTACATCCTGCTTCCTGCCACGTTAATCAAAGGGCGGGGCCAGCTACATCTGAAAGGGGCTTTAGGCTGTTGCTGACTGGCGATCAATGGTGGGTAGCGGCACTGCATGATGATGTCACAGAAAGGAGAAAAAGGCGTCAGCGACGACGGTTAGACAGATGAGATTGTGTGCGCTGATCAGCGATAAAGTGACTCCAGAAGAGAAGAAGAAGCATCATCGTCGTCATCATCATCACATCTGCAGGAGACACAGGTGAGACAGGCAGACCCAGACAGACCCACATACACATCACGTCACACGGTGCAGGTGACTCACCTGTATGGGAGATCTGTGCAGCCACTTCTCTTTGTCTCCGCCCACCTTCATGCAAGAGAACAGGTCACACATGGTGGGCAGCGCCACAGCGAGGCGTTCCTAAAGAGGAAATAAGAAGCAGTCAGGAAGCCGGAAGCGAGCAGCAACCAAACCACGTGTGTGTTCAGCTCCAGCTGTGCTCACCTGAGCTTGACTCCTCTTCCTCAGCAGCCACTTGTCCTCTTCCTCCTCCTCCTGGGGCGGCACTGCGGAATCGGGCGCTGGGCTCTTCCGTGGAAATAGCCACAGGTCCGTCTCCAGGGGGCTCTGGAAGAGAGACGAGGAGGAACCGTTCTCCTCCCGGCTCGCCTTCTCCTCCTCAGCTGC